ATCATTGGCTTCGACCAGAGCACAGATCTGCCTGACCAGCTCCTCCGCATCGGCAGCATCGCGCACGCTGTTCAGGTACACTTCACTCATCGGCCCTGAATAGTGGAATCCCTCAAAATCATCTTATACCAACCCCCAATTATTCCTCGTCTGACCACGTGCTGTTGGCCACTATACTCAGTTGCAGTCGTAATTACTTCCATACAGATTAATTATCAAGAATACCACGACTACTCGGATTACCAGCGCGGGATTTCCCTATTATTGTGCGTTTTTGTAGCTATGCAATGCAGAAAACGCATACTGACGAGGTGTTGTCTGTGTGTCCGTGTGTGCGTCTGTCACGGTTTTTCTTCTCGAGACCCACAAGAGCTACGGGGCTGAAACTTTGGGAACTTAATCTACATGCACGTATGGGCCCAAATCCCCAAAATGAGCGCCATTACCCGCGTGGTTACCCACGTAAGAGCCCGTCAAAGTTTTTCACGGGTAAGTCGCTAACTCGGGAACCAGAAGCGCTTGGGAGCTGAAATTATAAGGGGATGTTCCCGGTCCAAGTAGGTATTAATGAGGTCAAACCCAGCCTCCAGATATGCGTGGTATCCACGTGCAGGTCCGCGAAAGTTTCCTTCCAGTAAGTTGCTAACTCAGGAGCCAGTAAAGCTAGGAAGCTGAAATTTCAAAGGGGTGTTTCTTGACAGTTCTGGCGACCAGCCTTAATTTGTTTAGCTAGAAGCATTTGCCAAAAAAACCGATGTCAGTAGCGACAAAAACTGCGGGGAACTATGCAAAAAACGCATCTTCGCACGGGCAGTCCGTGAGTTGGCCAATTATTAGTGATGCTACCACACGCCGAGCGCAGCTATGCCAGGCCCTTCGATCCTTCGAGGCTGCATGCTTGTACAGTTAGTACCCGCCGCCTGTTCTATGTATGTGCTCCTCACACAGATATTTATATCCGTTGATAATCCCCTCTAGTACTGTTCTCAAGCAGAAAGCGCAATTCCACGGGGATTATTGATATCTCACCGACTTGCCTAAATACCAAGATATCGACAAGGGTTTTGCCCCATCTCCTCCCCTCCCCCAATAATGCCCAAATTTCGCGCAGGCCCGCACTAACTTCACGCATAAAGCATCTTGGCCGATCCAAATGCCATAACTTGACAATAGCCACTAGAATTCGGCCGCCCGTTACACCTCGGCCAGGTTGTTGCACGAATCGCTAAAACTGCTGTTGATGATCAGAAGTTCCGGGGATTTTATTAGACAATGAATGTCTTGTTCAGTTTAATGAGGATGTGCAACGGAATTTTTATTAATTGGTGGTAAACACAGTGATATTCATGACATCATAGCTGAACTGCAAAGGGCAACTTTACGAATTGCTTAGAAATAAAAGAAAACAGAGAATAGGGTGTTTCATAAAAGCTGGAGCAATGTTTATTAGGCGTTTTGTTGTGTTGTGTAACAGCAGTACAAAACACACATTGTCACGGGGTTGTATGTGTGTGTTTGTGTGTCCGCAGTAACTTGTTCGCAACTTTCAGCTTGGGAACCACAAAAGCTAGGAAGCTGAAAATTTAGAGGAATGTTGATATTTTTGCCCATTGATATTTTTTCAATCATTTGAAAAATGTTTTGTTTGATCTATGCACATTTATATGATCTTTCACATACTGACTTACTAAGAAACATCCCTCCCATAACTCGAACACATGACCACCCTTGCCGAGGAGTTATAGGGAAAAGATGAGGCCTGGCGGACCCCCTTGTCGAATCCCTCGTTTACCTCATCAGGTGTACACTGTCCTGTGACAGGTGCGCATTTCTCTGTGCCCACCCAGTTTTACGTACTATTTCGCCTGCCACGCGGATTTACCGTCTACCAAAATTCATGTGAGATGAGTATCACGCGCACATTGATATTTCGTGTTTTTTGGGCGTGAGGTTGTTTTGCCAGGATAAAATAGCGCCCGGAGGCGCGTTGGCTTCAGTGTTTTGTAGTGCATAGAGACGGGGAGAGGGCGCGTTCAACGTCGCCTTTAAGTACGTGTTTCCGTTGTCCAACGTTTCTGGTGTGAGGGTCGGTGCCCTACGCTGTCACCACACTGCCCCACTAAGTGGGGTAACTTTGCCCGAGCACACTCGTAATACCATACATGCGTCACAATTTCCAGCCGGGGATTGCACGTAGAAGGGTCAGCAGTTGATGCACTTATCGTCGATGTCCTCAAAGTGTCAAATCAAAATGTTCATGCTTAGCTCTGCTCTGCAGTACCACTGTGGTGAAGGCAATGATGTACGGATGCGAAACACGGCCACTGGCGAGAGCAAATGAGTGAATGTGGGGAGGAAAGCAGTGGAGCAAAGGATGCTTGGCGTGTCTCTTCATGATCGTATAAGTAGCCAGACTGTCTGCCCAATGAGCAGCACTGTGCGATCACGTCGGAAAGTGAAGTCCGTAAAATGAGGACCGTTACTTGTCTTGCTGTTACCGGAAGACGTGGGGTATTGGTGAGCGGTACTCGTGGAAAAATAAACGACCATTTGGACGATCACCGCAAGGGGGAGGGGGGATGTACAGACATCGAACAGAGGTGATGGGTACAAATCGTAGCTGTGCATCATCTTAGAGTCCGAAGGTCAAGGTCAAGGTCAAGCATGGCTGTTCTTCAAATGTGTGGAGGCATCCCAGTAACATCGCTGGCCTCGGCTTTTCGCACCGATTACTCGGCTGATCTTGGTAGTCTTGGTATTCGCGTTTTTTTTACGCTGTTTCTCCTTCATCACTCATTTTTTTTGTAGTATTTTTGTTATAAGGGAGTTTTATGGAATCCTCAGGGTTTCTAAGGTAGGTTTTTCTCTCAGTGCGAAGGATGGGCACTCAAATTTAGCGCATTTTGGCGAAAGTAGTCATCTTTTCCTCCTTCTGTGTATTTATTATGTCTTTTCTTGCCTTTTAACGTTCCCGAAGAACCTATTTGTTCATTCCAAATATGGTGCGGTACTTTTGGCAGCTGGTTTCCTCCACTTATTTGGGGGGGGGGGGGGGGGGGGGGGGGGGGG